CTTTATGTAGAAGTCAAGCATTTAGAGATTTTCTATGTGATTATCTTGATTTCTCTGGGTTTGGTTTGTGTTTGAAAAAGCATTCAGCAGTTTTGTTTTAAGGAGAAAGCTGTCATCCCCAACCTCAATTTTAAGTATTAGCTCTTCCAGTTTCTGTATTTCAGTAACATCCACAGCTGATCCATTGGTTTTAGTTAGAGACAATAAATAAAAACATTTTTCTTTAGAGCGTTGTAGTGCTTTTGGGGAGAAAATACCTTTTAGCAGCATTCAGAGAGCAATTTAATAGCTGAACTTTACAGAATCTGCTTTCATAGAGCAAAACAGAGGCATCCTTACCTGCAGCAAGGTGTTGGTGTGTGGCAGAGCAGGTGTCCATGGCCTTCTGATGCCAGTGTTCCACCTGGGAAGGGTGACAGTTCTGAGAGACTGAGCATCCTCCTCACTCCCACAATTGTCCCTGCACCTAACTTAAAACCACTTTATTCTCCCAACACGTGGGTTTCTGAAAGTTTCTTTGTGGTGTTTATTTCAGTGTATTTCTTGGAGTTAATTGTTTAATAAAGTTTTTAATGGTACATAATACATCCCAGGTTATTTTCCAGTAGGATAGTACATATGTGGAGTTTTCTGCCTAGAAATCCGACAGCACTGCTAAATAACTCCTGATGGAGAAATTTTGACTGCATCAGGAAGTCCAGTTGGAGTTTGTGGAATGCTGTAGGAGCAGTAATTAAGGTTGTTCCCGCTTTCAATATCTGAGTATCTCTGTATTAAACAGATCCCTATTTTAGGGAATCAAAGTGTCACTTCTGTACCATATTCATACAAGTTGTTTCCTGAAATTCAATGTGACATTTGCACACAAAGAAGAAGGGAAAAAAAAAAATCAAAATTAACAGCTACATCACCTCTCTTGGGTTTGGAAATCCATTTGCACTGATAATCTTTTTATAGTAGTCAACAGATGCCTTTGGGTATCGTGGTTTGTTCTTGTTTTTGAAGTCAATGTAGTAAAGCCCAAATCTTTCAGAGAAGCCTTTGTTCCATTCAAATTTATCCAGCAGAGACCAGGCAGTGTAACCTTTGACATTTACACCATCATTTAGAGCTGGAAACAGAACACAAATGACTGATAAAGGTGGGTTTTGTCTTTAAAATGTGGTTCTGTAAATGTTTTGGTTTATAGCAGGAACAGATGGGGAATAGGACAGAAAAATGAAGCACAAATTAATTCAGATTATTTGAATTGTTGTCTTTAGCTTAGAGGTACTAGAACTCTGGACATGATAATTTCTCCTTTCTGAGAGTGGAAACTGATGATTTATTGCAGTATTAAATCTCAGGTAGGTTATTGTAATTATTAGTATTAATATGTTTGCTTAGGTTATCATTTTGGTGAAAATTTGATGGTCTGGTTTGCTGTCCATTTTGACTTGTGAATAGTTATTTCTCTGTGATGGAAAGGACAAAGTAAAAAATAAGCAGAAGTTGAAAACACCCTGAAAATCAGATCCCATAAAGCTATTTTCAAGTGACCTTTGAGTATCTCGTTGATGTATCCCTTCAGGTACTGGATCCTCCACTCATCACACAGCTGAGGGCACTGCACAGTTTCAGACATTCCATTCTCTGTCACATAAATCAGGGGGTTCCCATACTGGGTCTGCAAACAGGAATGTTTAAATTTCTTCACATAAAATCATTTCATTTTGACAATATATGAATTAGCAAAGTACATTAAAAGCAATTTTCTACATTCACTTACCTAAGTAAGAAGAATATGTAGTAGGAATTTAAGTTAACTATGGGGTTTATTTTAAAATGACTGAATTCTGTAGTTTTCTGAGCTGAAATTCAGGGTTTTTTGACAACAAAAATTCCCACTAGGACAAGACCAATAGCTGAAACTGTTGAACATCTAAATCTACACCAGGCATTTTGTTTGCTTCCTTTCCAATTAAAGATCTGCTCTACTCACCTTAATGAAGTTGAGCAACCTTCTGAACCCCCAGGGCACAGAGTAGAGCCACTTAGGGCCTGGAGCTGGCCAGTTGGGGTCCACCAGTTCAGCCAGGTCACGGTCAGTGTGGTAACTGGACACTTGGAGGAAGGGAAAGCTCTTCTGCAGAACATAACGAGTGGTAAAATGACCAATTCCCAGGAAATCCGAGGTGCCTTTAATATAGGTTTTCTCTTGAACTGAAAAAGTTGGTAATCTTGATGTCCCCAGGCCCTGCTGGGCACTCTTCCTGCCTAGCAAAATAATTACAGGAAACAACTTCTGAGGAGCACAGAAATTGGTTTTCTTTATCTCACCAGCAATAAATCGTAGAATCATAAAATCCCGGATGGTTTGTGTTGGAAGGGACTTTTAAAATCATCACCTCACCCCCTGCCATGAGCAGGAACACCTTTCACTATCCCAGGATGCTCCCAGCCCTGTCCAGCCTGGCCTGGGACACTTCAGGGACCCAGGGGCAGCCACAGCTGCTCTGGGCACCCTGTGCTGGGGACAAATAGGGTTTTCCTGAATTTAGTGTTAATGTTGAGGGCACCTGAGCTTAATTGGTTTTTTAAAATGGGATAATATTTCATCCTTTTGGTTTGGAGAATTAAGTTGGGTACAATACATGAAGAAACAGTGATTTAAAGTGTCCTGGTGTGTCCCCAAAGTGCTTTAGGAGCTGTGTCCAGCCCAGGGGCCTTTGCTTTGCTGTGTCTCCCTGTTGCTGTTGAGGCAGGGATGGGAATGAAGAGGCTCTATCTTCAGAAGGCAAAGAATGATCTTTATTAAAAAGCACCTCTCTCTTTTA